ATTTCGCTCATATGACGACGTGCATGCGTGTGTATGTGTATGTGCGGCTGCTTGTACTAGCCCAGCCTGAAGCTGGTTTTATAGTGCTAGGCCACTGAGATACCATGCCGCAGTGAAGCATGGATACCCCACTCAGACACATTATACTGACTCCGAGCCGACAAGTCCTTGTTGTACCCATTAATGCCGAGCGCCAGGCAGTGACCAACAAGTACCATATTTTAACGTCTTTTGGTATGAAGCGGTTGGGGATCAAAACCGCGACCTTCCGCTCTCCGGGCGGACGCTCTAACCACTACACCACGGAGGCGGTCTGATATACACTAAAGAAGAAGTTGTCATCCATAATATTTGTGTTTTACTTACATACATCACTGAAGCAATGACAACAACTTGGGGGAATACTAATTGCTGTTGTTAGGAAAACATCACTGACTGCATGCACACGGAAGTACTCTATTGAGCTAAGTTCAAGATTAGCGGCAACCTTTAATATGTGATTGAATTTCCTTTAGGTAAAACTTTCAGTTGCAATTTATTAGGCAATTAGACAAGTCGCAAAAATATCATCTCGAAAAAACGTCTGTTGATCGGCACGCAAATATCGTGAATTTTACAGCAACTGTTTGTTCTGCTCAGTCTTCAACGCGAATTTTGATAGGGGTGGGGGGTTGGGGGTGCTGGTTGTTGAGAAGGGTGGGAAGGTGAATATGAACATGTTGCGGTTGGAGGATAACCAAAGCAGCATCTACTTTTCGGTAAGAGCTGGCTAGTTTGAAGGGTGCAATATTAGATAGAGGTTTCTGTACTGAGTCTGTACAGACTAGCAACAACAACAAGAAGCTAGATTCCTCAGCTAGGACTGTACACACCAAGAAGCCTCAACCTCTTACCGTCTCACCAACTAAACCAAAGGAGATCATACTATTTAACAATTTAGCGAGTGTGATATGTTTATTTCGCCAAAGCATTTTGATTTAATAAAAAGTTAATATTGCAAAAAGTGTTTTTATAAGGAACATGTTTCACAACGTTACTGGCAATGTGTTAAAACTTTCAAACGTAATGACTCTCACTTCATTTGACTCTCACTTCATTTGACACATTTTAAACAAACCAAAATGGCGCTACCCATTAGTGAAGCACGATGTAATTAAATACCCCCCGGCCTTCAAGGGGAAGTAGAATAATATGATACAGCTTAATTACAGTTTACTTTAGAGTAAATAACGAGGACGCTTGTCTCGGAACATTCCACATGCGCCTTGTGGTGCCCAGTTGCAATGTAGACATAGCTGGCGTTAGTCGATAAGAGTCGCTTGTTGCTATGACATGCTGGATTTTTTTTGGTCAATAAACAACATCAGCACATTGAAGCAACGACAAGCCATGAAGTACTCTGTTTACCAAGCTGGTTGCACTACATGATACAGTAACTGACTTGAAGCGACAGCCTGGAGTGTGATGACATCCCCGTGGGATGAACATTGCGGAGGAAGAGCAACAACATTTTGTGAGACTGCAGTGTGTTGTAAAAGCGACTGGTGTAGATGTGGTTATGAAACCCTTTAAGTATTGATCATGCATGTGGCCAGAAACAGCTATATTTCTTAGTCATAATTCTTAGTGCACAATGCACCCCGTCAGATAGCCTTGTGGTTGCCACGACACGGACACAGGGGTTGGAAAGAAACACAGATGGTGGACGTCATCTTGTCATAAACGCCAGGATACGATAGTATTCAGTTAGTCGACAAGTTTAATAAAAACATTTCACGGGAAAGTGAAAGTGACAGTAATGAAAGAACGATGTTTATTACCCACGTGGTCAATGTATGGGTAGTTGCATACTAATCTCGTACGTCACACGAGTGTCGTATCGCGTTGACCTGTGTCGTAACGACTTGACCTGAGATTCTAACGATTTGATTGGATAACCGATGACCTCTCAGTTAGGTCACGTTGTGGCGGAACTATTTGTTCATTCATAACAAACACGTGAATTCATTCATTCTACAACTTAAATGCATTGTGGGAATGTAAACATCCCGAACGTTGCCGTGTCGCTGATTAATTGTGAGTCGAACTGAGACATTATATCCGCCGAATGAAGCAACTGCAAACCAAGAAACGGGGTGCTACGGAGTAGTTTACTGTAGGAGGCTGTACGAGGCGATGACAACTGACATGAATCGTGACGTCGGTTTCCAAGGCTGTGACGTCATTACAGTGTGACGTAATGTAAATATTGTACTACAGTACAAAACTCTTCCGCAACCTCTTTATGAAACCGGTTTCGGTTTAAAACAAAAATATTAACAAAAATACGCCATTTTGTCAGTTTAATGCATGTAAGACGTGGATAATAATTTCGCTTTCCCTCGGTCAAATACCATAGGAAGGACACTCGTTTCGTATGATTCGTATGTAATGAGACCTCGTGTAGTAATCTCTCTATATATTGTCACTGGCGGGGTACTAGCGCTGTATGAAAGGAAAGGGTTGTAACAAGATAATACACTACATTCCTGGACTAAGATTTCTTGTTATAAGGCAAAAGACGATATAGATGAGTTGTGATCTGTTCAGACATGTCAACAACCGCTAGGGATGAAGACCATTATTGTGTTCACAACATCAGAAACTCAGAAATGAGAGCTTCCGTGTAATATTTGGAAACGTAAAACACTTGAAATATGAACAAATGTAACCGTTTTTGACTTTGTTAAACAAGATGTTGTCCCAAGCCAGTGAAGCGTCCGAGAGACGGTTCTCACAATCAGATGCATGACTGTCTATTATCTACGGTAGGTACAAGTGGAATTATCGAACGAATAAATCATTCCAAGGAGTAATAGTTTTGTAACTGTGCCACTATATAAAAAGAAAGTTAATGCATTTCTCTTTTTAAACAATTGTTCATAACATGTCACATATGGTTCTGTAGTTCTTGAAATTCTGGGGGCGGTGGCGTAGCTTAGTGGTTAAAGCGTTCGCTCGTCACGCCGAAGACCCAGCTTCGATTCCCCACATGGGTACAATGTGTGAAGCCCATTTCTGGTGTCCCCCGCCGTGATGTTGCTGGAATATTGCTAAAAGCGGCATAAAACCAAACTCAGTCAGTCTTTAAATTCTCGATATGGTTCTGCAGTTCTTGAAATTCTCGATATTATGTGAGTTGTTCTGGAGTAGTTACTTCGTATTTTTCTAGTTTCATTTAACGATGAAATGCATGACATTAATATTGTCAGAATGTGTACAACAATGAAAAAGGGGGGACACAGTGACACCATAAGTGGATTGAGGCCTCTGGCCCCTTTCCGTAACCTGCAAGAAGACTCGTCCCCCTCTCAATGCTTGTTCATTCGTGACCAACTCGTGTTATTCCGGGACAAGCCGATTAGCGACTCGTGCCCCTCTGGAAGGATTTCATATTGGCGTAGGAACATCAGAACTACTTCAAACAGGAACGACAACTCTATTCCTGTTTGATCCCAATAGTACTTAATATCACCGGAGTACTCATACATTGTATTGCTGTTTTTGTTTTTGCTATTTATTCTAATTATTAAACCTCCTTGGTACAACTAAAAGTAAGAAAAAACATATTTGTTAAAGACATATTCTGACGTAATTATTACCAGATATTCACCTTATGTTTCCAATTATATTTCTGAAAAGGGTTCAATAATCACAAATGGGATTTGTTTCATTGAATATGCAAATCAAATTTGTAAAAAAAACCACCTTTATTTGGCTTGTCCCGGAAGGACATTGGTGACCCACTCGCGTAATTCCGGGACAAGCCGAATAGCTTACGGGAAGGGGCGAGTGGTGGCGAATGAGTACTGGTTTCACCCGTGACCAACAGATGTGAAACTAGAAACGAATTGAAACTAGTGTAAAAATAATAATTAGTGGATTTATAAAGCGCTAAAATACTCCAGGCACTAAGTGTCTGCTCTAAGCGCTATGATGAGTGTATACATGGCATTTAAAATGAGTAGGAACGCAGAAATGTAGCAGTGATAGTATTTTCGGAAAAGGAATGTCTTTAAATGAGATTTGAAGTTGTCTAGGGTTGGTGACAGTCTAATATCATGAGGAATAGAGTTCCAGGGAAAAGGAGCAGCATAGCTGAAAGAGCGGTAGCCAAATGACTTCAGATGGCGTTTTGGCCATCTTCAGAAGATGAAGATTTCCTGATCTTAATGTTCTCACACGACTGTGCTTGGAGAGTAGGTCAGTTAGATAACTTGGCTCAGTTGAGTGAAAGCACTGATAAGCAAGTGTGAGAGTCTTAAATTCTATTCTTGCTCGTACTGGCAGCCAATGCAAGGACTTCAAGGCAGGTGTGATGTGAGAGCGCTTCTTTGTTCTGCTGATGATCCTTGCACCATTGTTCTGCACCTTCTGCAGCTTTGTGAGAAGTCTCTCTGGCAAGCCATAATACAGACTGTTGCAGTAGTCGAAACGTGATTGGACTAACGAGCGTACAAGGACACAAGTGGCTTCTCTGGAGAGCATTTGTCGAATGTGACCAATGTTGCGAAGATGGTGATAGCAGCTTCTGCAAGTGTTGGCAACCTGGCTCTCCATTTGCAGATCAGAGTCAATCAGAACACCAAGGTTTTTTTGACAGTAGAAGAAAACGGTATGTTGGCATTACCAAAAGAAATGTCCCTGTCTCCAAAAGGATGTATTTTCTGTTTTTGTCCAACAATGATTGCTTCAGTTTTTCCATCATTCATCTTCAGTTTGTTACAAGTCAGCCAGGACTTGATGGTAATAGTACACTCCTCTAGATGGGAGATAGCATTCTGGGAGTCTCTAACTGCAAATGTTCTCAGAAGTTGCATGTCGTCTGCGTAGCCATGATGATCAACACCTTGCGCCTCGATAGAATCACCAAGAGCCTTAATGTACAGCGTGAACAAGAAAGGACCAAGCACGTCTCCTTGGGGTACACCGAATAATAGAAACTCTCTTTGGGAAGACACACTGGATATCTGTACTGTTTGACATCTATCAGAGAGATATGATGTGAACCATCCCAGGGCTACACCGGTTATTCCAAACTGATATTCAAGCTGGTGTGTCAATGTTGGATGGTCGATTGTATCGAACGCCGCAGACAAATCTAATAGTACAAGGAGACCAATTTGGCCATTGTCCGCAGCATTTTGAATGTCATTCATGATACGTAGCAGAGCTGTTTCCGTACTGTTGGAAGCTCTATAAGCAGATTGATACTTGTCAAAGAGGTCATTTTGAAGAAGATGAACAGATAACCTGCACTTTACAGCCTTCTGAAGTACCTTAGATAAGAATGGGAGATTTGGCACTGGTCTATAGTTTTCCACAGATGCACTATCCGAGTTTGACTTCTTCAGTAAGGGCTTGACAACCGCTTCCTTGAAGGCCGCTGGTACACTGCCAGTTGACAAGCTGAGATTAACCAGTCTGGTCATGACAGGCAAAATAATATCAATATAGTCAAAAATCAGCTTTGTGGGAACATGATCCAGTGTACAAGTTGTGGGTTTAGAGGTTTTGATGATATGCAAAATCTCAGCATCTGTGAATAATTTGAAAGAGGCAATATGTTCACCTTGGAATTTTTGTGATAATTCAGGTGTAACACATGACTGCGGGTCTAGAGATGTCCTAATCTTCTCTATTTTCTCAACAAAATAACGACTGAAAGTGTTTGACAAATCCATGGAATCCCCTGACTTTGGGAGTGTACTATCCTTGGTCTCGCCCAATAAAGAAAATAGAAAGTCATAAAGTACACCTGAGTTTGGTGGCAGATTCTGTTATCTTATTCAAGCAATACCTAGATTTAGCTAATCGGATAGCCTTAGTGACATTGTTTCTCTCGAAACAGTGTATCTGCCTGTGAATCTCCAACTTGGTTTTCCTCCACAACGTTTCTGCGCGTCGCCTAGCACTCTTTGCCTGAAGAATCTCGTCACCGACCATGAAGATGATTTCTTAACTGAAACCTGTTTCACTGTGACAGGAGCGTACTTTTCAAGCCAAGACGATAGAGTTATATTGTAACGATCACACAACTCGTCCAGGTCAGTTGAATCACTGTGTACAAGATTGGACTCTTTCAGATCTTGACGGAAGACATTCCTGTCCATCTTCCGAGTAGTATGGTTCATATTGTTTTAAATATGCGGATGTTGAAATATATACGCGACTGTTTTCGTAAAGATTTGTTAGCAAAATATGGTCATACATGTAGTGTCACAACAAGGTCAAAGCCAACTCACTGAACCCAAAACTGTAGTCCAGATTTGTTTGCAGAGAACTATGACAGTGTTAGACAATCAGTATTTCAAACTTGAGCTACAAGTGACACATTAATGCGATGGGTGCTAAGGGTACAGACTAATGGACATGAGCAGAATCTGATATACTCTGAGCAATGTGTCCTAAAATAAACCTTGTCGCCTGGAATCTAAGATTTGCGGTGATAATGTTTCTAGCTTTGCCAGTGCCATATTAGCAATTAAGGATTTCCTCAATGTGGTAGACGTCTAACATCTACATAATTTCAGACTTTACTTCCAACACAAACTGAGTCTATGACATTGTTATATAACTGATACTGTTCAAAGTTGCGATTCACTAGGCTGTGAACAATTTGAGTCTGTATATATTGGCAAACATGGAACATTCAGCCAGTCCCTAAAGAAACACCCGAATTAATAGTTCCAAGTGATCTCAAGCTAGCTCTAGGAACGACTTTATGGGTCATTTGTCAGGTTTGGTCACTTGGTTCAGTGCGTGTCCGTGTAGCCCAGCGGGGAGGATAGTTGTTCGCAATATCAATCACTGGATTGTCTGGTCCAAATAGGTGAAGAATTGCTGATTGCAGCGTTCCCATAAAACTGAACAGTTAATACATGGCTTTATATATGAAACATAATTAAATATAATGCCTATCCCTGTCATAAATGTTGTTCCCCCCATACACAAACATGTCTACACAATGGTTCTAATAACCAACTATGCATACATACTATGTTCGACTACACTTACACCTGAAACTTGCACTTGACGCATGCGCAGACAAACACACCCTAAATAGAAACTGTATAAGGGTTATCTTTGATAAAAACATCAAAGTCTGTTGTGGGTTCATCTGATATTTCAATTTATTGATTTTACTAAAGAATCCCAATAAAGTACAAGTACTTGTGACAGGGCCAGTTACACACTTTTGGAAACACTGAATATTTCGATTTGTTCTGACAGTTCTGCCGATGTTTATTATATCTTTTACGAACGCTTCGATCTTTGCTCAGGAACGACTGCTGTCGCGGGGAACGAGACCACCGTGATGAACGCCAGAGTTTCGATAATGTAATCAAAACGATTAGGTATGGAGCTATGGGACATTATCGCGATCTCGATCTTCAGACACGGAAATGTTGCTTACAATATTACCAGATATATATTAGATATTTAATCTGACACTGAAAGTGGAAGACCTACAAGAGTCGACTAATTCACTGTGACCGTATGTTTTATTTGTTCTAGTGCCTAGGTCTGGACAGCGTGGTGGCGTTATTTGGAGGGAAAATACGTGACCCACAGGACCTGATGTATTTGGCTCCAGTGATACTGTATCAGCTGACCCCCTTCTGTGAACGCCGGTTTTCCGACAGAGCCGACCACTCGTCTCAACAACAGCATCAACAACAGCACCAACATCAGAAGCATCATCGCCACCACCACCAGAATCAGCGTAAACGTAACCATAGCAACAGAGAACATGACCAACATCATGGCCACCATGACGGACACGGGAAACACGATAACCATCGTTTAAAGAAAGTGGAAGAGAAGGGTAACCAAAGCGACAGCCATCAAGAGGCAGAAGAACAAAATAGTCACCATGAAAAGGATAAACAGGGCTCCCATAGTGCCCATGTACATCACGTTAACAGAGGACAAGATCACGATGGGGATCGCAGCCATGATACGGCATCGGCAGAGGCCAAACGTTACCATAGCGGCCACGTGCACCATGTTCACGAAGGAGTGGAGACCAACAGTAGTCATGGTGACCATATACACCATGGTTCAAAACACAAGGACAAAAGTCACCATGGTGACCACATAGATCATGATTCTACGGACAAGGACAGACATCTCCATGGAGACCATATACATCACGTTTCAAGAGACAGAGAGAAGGATTTCCATGGCGACCATATACATCATGAATCTAGGGCCAAGGACAAGCATCTCCATGGAGACCATATACATCACGTTTCAAGGGACAAAGAGAAGCATTTCCATGGTGACCATATACATAATGTTTCCAGGAACAAGGACAAGCATCTCCATGGTGATCAAATTGACCATGTTTCTACAGATGAGGACAGACATCTCCATGGAGACCATAAACATCACCTTTCAAGGGACAGAGAGAAGCATTTCCATAGCGACCATATACATAATGTTTCCAGGCACACGGACAAGCATCTCCATGGTGATCACATTGACCATGTTACTACAGACAGACATCTCCATGGAGACCATATACATCACCTTTCAAGGGACAGAGAGAAGCATTTCCATGGCGACCATATACGTAATGTTTCCAGTAAGAAGGACAAGCATCTCCATGGTGATCACATTGACCACCTTGATCACCCTGAAGACAACACGCATCACCACTTCAGTCAGTCACCCTTAAAAGGTACGTGTCTGAGAAAACGTTTTTAAAAGTCTTCAAGCTCTACGTCCAGAGAATGTGTGTTTCGTGTTAAAGTCTACCGATGCCTATCCTGTAACGTCTGTATGTTTCAGTTTGGGGATCCAGCATCCTGGCTGTTCTGCTCATCAGTCTCGTGGGCCTCGGGAGCGTCGTCATCATCCCCATCATGAGGAAAGTCTTCTACAACTATGTCCTGCAGTTCCTGGTCGCTGTTGCTGTCGGAGCACTCACTGGAGACGCGCTGCTTCACCTACTGCCACATGTAAGTTCGGAACGCGTGACAGTGTCAGAATGCATATGTGTAACACAGGTCCTCGTGTCTTTGCAAGGATTAAAGATTTTAAAAAATATATAAAAATTTGAGATAACCCCTTACTCGAAATGCTTTACAGTAAATACAGTATGACCTTGTACTGTTTAGCTTTTGAGTCATCTCCAAAACTATTTTTTCATCTTTAATTCTCGCAAAGACACGAGAGCCTGTGATGTGTAATGTGTCAAAAACTTTCAACTGGTATCGTCTCCAACTTGCTCTATTCAATCACAGGCGATGACAGGCGATATCCATGACAACAACAAAGACACGCACGAGGACAATCACCATAGCGACCATATTGATTACCATAGCAACTCACTAGGGATGGGACTGTGTGGAATGGGTGGACTGATAACGTTCTTTACCATGGAGAGGCTGCTTAGGATATTCATGGAAAGAAAAGCGAAGATGAAGGTCAGTTTACTGTCTGGGTAACATGTTAGTGCGTTCACTCACCAAGCACCAGAGTGAGTACGTGTGTGATTTTAGTTTTGCGCCGCTTTCAGCAATATTCCGGCAATATCACTGCGGGATACACTACAAATGGGCTTCACGCATTGTGCCCATGTGGGGAATCGAACCCGGGTCTTCGGCGTGACGAGCGAACGCTTTAACCACAAGGCTACCCCAGTGCTCCAGCAAGCACTAGAACTTGGTTTGATTCCCAAATAGTGTGATAGTATTGCAAAACCAGTTGGCCTACTTGCACATGACTTCTGCCTTATGCGTGTGCGTGCGTGCACGTGGGGTGGTCTCATCAGTCAGCTAGAATGTTTATATTGCCATCTAAACCGACAAGCATTGTAGCAGTAATCATGAAAAGATTAATTTAGATTAGAAAGTACCCTTGCAATTCAATCTTTACTCAAGAAAAAGAAGGCCTCGTCTGCACCGTCCCCGCAAATGTCAAACACCGGTGCTGACGACAGCGTGGTGGGCGTGAAGCTGTCAGCCCACAAGGATCCAGACTACCAGGAATGCGAGGAAATGATGTTCAACGTGAACAGGAAGCACAGTGAGTACCTCTACAACACGTGTACAGGTAGCACAGTGAGTACCTCTACAACACGTGTACAGGCACCACAGTGAGTACCTCTAGAACACGTGTACATGCAGCACAGTGATTACTTCTAGAACACTTGTTCAGGCAGCACAGTGAGTACCTCTAGAACACGTGTACAGGCAGCAGAGTGAGTACCTCTACAACACGTGTACAGGCAGCACAGTGAGTACCTCTACCACACGTGTACAGGCAGCACAGTGAGTACCTCTAAAACACTAGTACAGGCAGCACAGTGAGTACCTCAACCACACCTGTACAGGCAGCACAGTGAGCACCTCTACAACACTGTACAGACAGCACAGTGAGTACTTCTAGAACACGTGTACAGGCAGCACAGTGAGTACCGCTAGAACACGTGTTCAGACAGCACAGTGAGTACCTCAACCAGACGTGTACAGGCAGCACAGTGAGTACTTCTAGAACACGTGTACTGGCAGCACAGTGAGTACCTCTAGAACACGTGTACAGGCAGCACAGTGAGTACTTCTAGAACACGTGTACAGGCAGCACAGTGAGTACTTCTAGAACACGTGTACAGGCAGCACAGTGAGTACCTCTAGAACACGTGTACAGGCAGCACAGTGAGTACTTCTAGAACACGTGTACAGGCAGCACAGTGAGTACCATTTGAACACGTGTACAGGCAGCACAGTGGCTACCTCTGGAACACGTGTGCAGGCAGCACAGTGAGTACCTCATCCACACGTGTACAGGCAGCACAGCGAGTACCTCTACAACACGTGTACACGCAGCAAAGTGAGTATCTCCACCACACGTGTAGAGGTAGCACAGTGAGTACCTCAACCACACGTGTACAGGCAGCACAGTGAGTACCTATAGAACACGTGTACATGCAACACAGTGAGTACCTATAAAACACGTGTACACGCAGCACAGTGAGTACCTCTACAACACGTGTACAGGAAGCACAGCGAGTACCTCTACAACACGTGTACAGGCAGCACAGTGAGTACCTCTACAACACGTGTACAGGCAGCACAGCGAGTACCTCTACAACACGTGTACATGCAGCAAAGTGAGTATCTCCACCACACGTGTAGAGATAGCAGAGTAAGTACCTCAACCACACGTGTACAGGCAGCACAGTGAGTACCTATAGAACACGTGTACATGCAACACAGTGAGTACCTATAAAACACGTGTACAGGCAGCACAGTGAGTACCTCTAGAACACGTGTACAGGCAGCACAGTGAGTACCTCTAGAACACGTGTACAGGCAGCACAGTGAGTACTTCTAGAACACGTGTTCAGACAGCACAGTGAGTACCTCTAGAACACGTGTACAGGCAGCACAGTGAGTACCTCTAGAACACGTGTACAAGCAGCACAGTGAGTACCTCTAGAATACGTGTACAGGCAGCACAGTGAGTACCTCTAGAACACGTGTACAGGCAGCACAGTGAGTACCTCTAGAACACGTGTACAAGCAGCACAGTGAATACCTCTAGAACACGTGTACAAGTAGCACAGTGAGTACTTCTAGAACACGTGTACAGGCAGCACAGTGAGTACCTCTAGAACACGTGTACAGGCAGCACAGTGAGTACCTCTAGAACACGTGTACAAGCAGCACAGTGAATACTTGTTGAATTAGGACTCATGGTCATCATGGTCATTGCTTTTGCTAGGTCTTTGTGGTCTTAAATGATCATTAACTTCATGGCCATGTGCTTTACTCACAAGTCGACGTATAATGGAATTGGTGTTCAAGTTTGCACCGATAGCTGCGTCATACTTGCAAATATCTTGCCATGGCGTATTTTCTTGTTTCCTCAAGAAAGTAAATGTTTAGTACTCTTGTCTTTGTGCTTTCTAGTGATAGCTGCACACAGTTCATGTACTTCAATTGTTTTGTTCTACAGGATTACCAATTGGAGCATGCGCAGGCAGCCTTCTGTCTATAACGGCAGTGTCTCATCCAGAAATCAGTGTGTCGCGAAGTGAGAATCAGCCTCTTTCTGAATCTGAGAAAGGTCACGGTCACTCTCATTTAACCAATGAGCTCCCGTCGTCAGTAGCAACGATTGCATGGATGGTGATTCTTGGAGACGGTATCCACAACTTCAGTGACGGCCTTGCACTGGGTGCAGGCTTTGCCAACAGCATCACAGGTGGTATCAGCACCACCATCGCCATTTTCTGTCACGAACTTCCACACGAGATAGGTAGGATATAAAACCAGTTCCACAAATCTGAACCTCGTTCACTCGAATTCATCCTACTTATCAGTTAGGCATTCAATTACTGAGACCTTATGTAGAGTGTACCTTACGGGTAATTTCGACTTAACCGAGTTCGAGCCCTGCATTTGTGTTAACTAACATGTTAGTCTGGCTGACAAGGGTGTGAAAAGCCAGTTGTTACAAAATGTTTCTGTTAGAACACAATGTGGTATAAAATGATTTCATCCGATTGAAGTCGGGAGTATACTACTCAAAATAAGTTAGCGATATTCGGTACATTATGACTCCAATTGTGGGTGTTATCTAACTTATTTTGAGGAGAATATGAAAAAAGAAAGTCATCGGTAACTCTGTCAAGCCAAGGACACCCGAAATTAACCGTGATCGCCCGAGTTCTCTCCCTCTGCTTGTTCTCCTTACAAGGTAACTCGCAGGCAGATTACTTTATGCATTATCACACAGGGTGGAAGCGCTGTCCACGCGAAATGTGGAGTTGCGCCAAAAGCAACCCCATTTCCTCGCTGGACAGTGAAAGAAGAACATGTGGCGCAAGAATAATGGTAAGTTTTCCCTCGCATTTTCATTATTTTGCAAGTATATCAGGTTTTGGCAGACTGGTCTAGACATTTCAGATTTTTCTATAATAGCTTGACACCCTCTCTATTTATTGCAATTGCGCGTTAAGCGAGGGCACCCTCCAAACAAGATCGCGGAAAATGATCGTTTCAACAAGAAATATGACAACCTCATCAGCACACACGCCTTTTATGGCTGTCAATTCTTAGATACAGTTATTTTAGGTCTTCATTCACAGTTTAGACTTTAATGCGTCGTTATTTTTTCAGTTAGCGTCGAAAAATCAAACTGTACATGTTACATGCAGTAGTGTTGAAACTGCTGACCATGTAGTTGCATGGATTTTAGAGCATGAACTGTCGAAATTCCACAGTTGTTGATACCCTTTTCCACAGTCTTGGGTCTTAATCGTGGTAATCCTATCAAATCTTATCAGATCTTGAGGTCAGTTGATGCAATCGTGTTGATCGTAGTGAAATTTGGACGCTTCAAACAATTTCTCCGATCACCACAATTAATTGTCAATCGTGATCATCCCATCAGATAGTTTTGCATCATAACAAAGCGCAACATATCGCATCTAATCGTGCTTAGAAATCGTAGTGGACGCAATAAATCGTGGACAAGACAAACACCACGTTCTGTTGAGATTTGTTGCGATCTGCCACGATCTTTGACGCTCTGTCGGGTCCCATTGCTAACAACCTGACACGAATGACTCACGAGCAGATACGGGTAAATGCAAGTAGATACGAATATTGACGTTGTTCACGGACGCTCACGATCTGTTACGTGTTTTTGCGCCCATATATGTACTGGAAATCAGAATAACTTCGCCTTCGGGAAATCCCTCTGATCCTTTGCATTTCCTCTGACTGATTTGCAGCGTGCAGAAGGTTTTTTTCTTTCTGTTTTTGTAAGTATTTTTATTTCCCAAAGTACATTTGGTGTTTTCATAATACATTGTACAAAACATCATACACAACATCCTCGTCATCAATTTGTTGTCATAATACATTGTACAAAACATTATACAAAAACATCATCGTCATCAATTTGTTATTTTCATAATACATTGTACAAAACGTCATACACAACATCCTCGTCATCAATTTGTTGTTGTCATAATACATTGTACAAAACATCCTACAAAAACATCCTCGTCATCAATTTGTTGTTGTCATAATACATTGTACAAAACATTACACAAAAACATCCTCGTCATCAATTTGTTGTTGTCATAATACATTGTACAAAACATCATACACAACATCCTCGTCATCAATTTGTTGTTGTCATAATACATTGTACAAAACATCATACAAAAATATCCTCGTCATCAATTTGTTGTTGTCATAATACATTGTACAAAACATCATACACAACATCCTCGTCATCAATTTGTTGTTGTCATAATACATTGTACAAAAGATTATACACAACATCCTCGTCATCAATTTGTTGTTGTCATAATACATTGTACAAAACATCCTACAAAAACATCCTCGTCATCAATTTGTTGTTGTCATAATACATTGTACAAAACATCATACACAACATCCTCGTCATCAATTTCTTGTTGTCATAATACATTGTACAAAACATCATACACAACATCCTCGTCATCAATTTCTTGTTGTCATAATACATTGTACAAAAGATTATACACAACATCCTCGTCATCACTTTGTTGTTGTCATAATACATTGTACAAAACATCATACACAACATCCTCGTCATCAATTTGTTGTTGTCATAATACATTGTACAAAAGATTATACACAACATCCTCGTCATCAATTTGTTGTTGTCATAATACATTGTACAAAACATTATACAAAAACATCATCGTCATCAATATGTTGTTGTCATAATACATTGTACAAGACATCATACAAAAACATCCTCGTCATCAATTTGTTGTTGTCTTTATACATTGTACAAGACATCATACAAAAACATCCTCGTCATCAATTTGTTGTTGTCATAATACATTGTACAAAACATTATACAAAACATCATCGTCATCAATTTGTTGTTGTCATAATACATTGTACAAAACATCATACACAACATCCTCGTCATCAATTTGTTGTTGTCATAATACATTGTACAAAAGATTATACACAACATCCTCGTCATCAATTTGTTGTTGTCATAATACATTGTACAAAACATTATACAAAAACATCCTCGTCATCAATTTGTTGTTGTCATAATACATTGTACAAAACATCATACACAACATCCTCGTCATCAATTTGTTGTTGTCATAATACATTGTACAAAACATTATACAAAAACATCCTCGTCATCAATTTGTTGTTGTCATAATACATTGTACAAAACATCATACACAACATCCTCGTCATCAATTTGTTGTTGTCATAATACATTGTACAAAAGATTATACACAACATCCTCGTCATCAATTTGTTGTTGTCATAATACATTGTACAAAACATCATACACAACATCCTCGTCGACAATTTGTTGTTGTCATAATACATTGTACAAAAGATTATACACAACATCCTCGTCATCACTTTGTTGTTGTCATAATACATTGTACAAAACATCATACACAACATCCTCGTCGACAATTTGTTGTTGTCATAATACATTGTACAAAAGATTATACAAAAATATCCTCGTCATCAATATGTTGTTGTCTTTATACATTGTACAAGACATCATACAAAAACATCCTCGTCATCAATTTGTTGTTGTCATAATACATTGTACAAAACATTATACAAAAACATCGTCGTCATCAATTTGTTGTTGTCATAATACATTGTACAAAACATTATACAAAAACATCCTCGTCATCAATTTGTTGTTGTCATAATACATTGTACAAAAGATTACACAAAAACATCCTCGTCATCAATTTGTTGTTGTCATAATACATTGTACAAAACATCATACACAACATCCTCGTCATCAATTTGTTGTTGTCATAATACATTGTAGAAAACATTACACAAAAACATCCTCGTCATCAATTTGTTGTTGTCATAATACATTGTACAAAACATCATACACAACATCCTCGTCATCAATTTGTTGTTGTCATAATACATTGTAGAAAACATTATACAAATACATCCTCGTCATCAATTTGTTGTTGTCATAATACATTGTACAAAACATTACACAAAAACATCCTCGTCATCAATTTGTTGTTGTCATAATACATTGTACAAAACATCATACACAACATCCTCGTCATCAATTTGTTGTTGTCATAATACATTGTACAAAACATCATAGAAAAACATCCTCGTCATCAATTTGTTGTTGCCATAATACATTGTACAAAACATCATACACAACATCCTCGTCATCAATTTCTTGTTGTTATAATACATTGTACAAAACATCATACACAACATCCTCGTCATCAATTTGTTGTTGTCATAATACATTGTACAAAACATTATACAAAAACATCCTCGTCATCAATTTGTTGTTGTCATAATACATTGTACAAAACATCATACACAACATCCTCGTCATCAATTTGTTGTTGTCATAATACATTGTACAAAAGATTATACACAACATCCTCGTCATCAATTTGTTGTTGTCATAATACATTGTACAAAACATCATACACAACATCCTCGTCGACAATTTGTTGTTGTCATAATACATTGTACAAAAGATTATACACAACATCCTCGTCATCACTTTGTTGTTGTCATAATACATTGTACAAAACATCATACACAACATCCTCGTCGACAATTTGTTGTTGTCATAATACATTGTACAAAAGATTATACACAACATCCTCGTCATCAATTTGTTGTTGTCATAATACATTGTACAAAACATCATACACAACATCCTCGTCATCAATTTGTTGTTGTCATAATACATTGTACAAAAGATTATACACAACATCCTCGTCATCAATTTGTTGTTGTCATAATACATTGTACAAAACATCATACACAACATCCTCGTCGACAATTTGTTGTTGTCATAATACATTGTACAAAAGATTATACACAACATCCTCGTCATCAATTTGTTGTTGTCATAATACATTGTACAAAACATCATACACAACATCCTCGTCATCAATTTGTTGTTGTCATAATACATTGTACAAAAGATTATACACAACATCCTCGTCATCAATTTGTTGTTGTCATAATACATTGTACAAAACATCATACACAACATCCTCGTCGACAATTTGTTGTTGTCATAATACATTGTACAAAAGATTATACACAACATCCTCGTCATCAATTTGTTGTTGTCATAATACATTGTGCAAAACATTATACAAAAACATCCTCGTCATCAACATTGTGGAAGCATCATCACCATCAATACAAACGATCATCATCATATGTTCAGGATGGATTTACTATAATGTATCTGTTATCTTTGCCCAAGGCTAATATGTATACAAATATTCAGAAGTACTTGTCAAATTGTATTATACTTATATAACATCTAGGTTGGTATAGTTAGCAAAAAGTGTATGGAAGGAGGACCAGAAAGCATATAATTTTGCTGGATTTGCATTAGAAAATGCTGTATATTTGGTAGCTTTATAGTAGTTGAGTACTCCCCTTTGAAGCACTTTAAAATCTGGGTTTATATTATTTCGGCTTGTAGCATATATTTCACTATCAAGAACACCAGATGAAGTGAGTTGTTGTTTTTACCTTTGAAACCAAAGATAATATTTTCGTGCGACAAGTTAATATTTCATTCAGACAATATATCAAGCCAATCGGATACCTCCTTTCATACTTTCACAGTATAACGGCATTCGCACAATAAATGAATGATTGTTTCAGGAACAGATTCACAGAATCAGCTCATTGAAGAGTCTGTGTAATTCACCAAGTGTAACTTATGTTTAGTCATTAAAATCTTGTGAGGTGGAGAAGGTTGACCCACATCTAGCCAGTCCTCTTGGTCCTCCATGCCCCTGGGATGACATGGTGGTTTTCATCCTCATGGCCCACCTATTGTGCCGCAAGACCTGGATGCCTCAGCCTCAGGAAGTTGTGCAGAACCACTGCCGCCTTCACTATGCCTTTCACAGTGTTGGGCATCTGCCCTAGTGTCATGAGGGGACACCTGAATCTATTGGCCAGGTTCCCAAAGGCATTTTCCACCATTCTCCTCCCTCTTGAGAGTCCCTCCTCCTGGACATGTTTCTTCTGCTGTATGGTTTCATGAGGTAGTTCCTGGGTGCGAAGGATGAAGAAGGGCATGTCTTGGTGGTCATCAGGGCTTGCAGTCAGAGGGCAGAGTGGGGGAAGTCCTAAGGCTTCCTCTTCCATGCCGTTGACCAGCCCCGAGTCGCCACATATAATTGGCATCTGCCAGTTTGAGGTGGCTTCTTGATAGCAATGTGTTTGCCATCCAGGGCCCCGAATGGCGTGGGATATATCCATCTCTGTTCAAACTGGTTAGCTACGGCTGTCCAGTCTTCAGGGGTCACAGGTAGGATAAACACAATTGCCTGGAACCATTGCTGATATGGTGGACACTCCACACCTGAAGGCATACGCATGGGACACATAGTTGTCTTCAGCCTCAAGGTGCCTAAGTGTGACCGCCAGTTTCAGTCCAGGTGAAAGGGTTGCCTGAAACTGGTGACTTCCCTATCGATTGCTAGGGCCGCCTTATGCAAGACTTTATCGAAGAGCTGTGGTGTTAACCTGGAGGATCCTCCAGCCTCAAATGGGTTTCTATAGGCTGGAGACCTGACCAAACTGTTATCCCCACTCCTCTATGAGCCATGGCCGCACCCAGGAGTGCCTGACTGCAGCTCTCCTGGCCCTTTGTGGTTGGAGTTGTATCTGGTCTGGCTGCTGCTCGTCTTGTGTCATGTGGATTTCTGCTTAAACACGGCCATTGACTTGTCCATATCGCTGGTGCCACCGGTGGGAACAAAGGAAGTCATTATTGTATTTGATTTCGCTCATTCAACATTGGTTAGATGCCCCTTGATTTTCAGATGCTTAGTGATGTGCTTTACCCGAATGTGCAATACTAATATCTGAATGATAGTATGAACAATGTACATACTTTGGAATAACCTGGGCTCACAAAGTTTTCGTAGCGATATCATAAGTCATTGTTACAGTATAGTATGTACGAATGCTACGAGAAAGGTTATGAGATTTAAGGCTTACGAGAGCTTTGTGAAACGGGGCCCTCGACTTGGTTATTCCTGGGGTAGATGTATATTTGTATATGTGTTAATACACTTCTGATCGTACATGATTTTTTTACATTAAATTTCTGTTAGGGTACAAACTGCAATGTGGGTGTACAATCGTACTTGATGGTACAAAATCGTAATAAATACGCCAAAATACGCCAGGTAGGCAGGTCTACAACATATATCTCTAGAATAACGTTTGATGACATGACGGTTAAAACTAAAAACTGTCAACTCCCTGGACAGTAAAATTATAACGCAATGGACAGTTTGTTTGCTAAATGTGAGCAACTCCATATAAAATGTACAGTTTGAATTTTCGACGATACCTGAAAAAAATACTGACACATTAAAGCCTAAACTGTGAATGAAGACCTAAGACAACTATAAAAAAGGCGTGTCTGCTGATGAGGTTGTCATATTTCGTGTTAGAAACGATCATTTTCTACGATCTTGTTTCGACACTCAGGAGGGTGCCCTCGCTTAACGCGCAATTGCAATAAATAGAGAGGGTGTCGAGCTATTACAGAAAGATCTGTAAATTTCTAGATCCGTCTGCCAAATGGCAAAACCTGATGTACTTGCAAAATAATGAAAATTCGAGGGAAAACTTACGATTACTCTTGTTCTTCTTTCACTTTCCAGCGAGGAAATGGAGTTGCTTTTGGGGCAACTCCACATTTCGCGTGGACAGCGCTTCCACCCTGTGTTTCTTCAGAACTGTGTCCAGCACAGCTGGTGCTATCTCTGTCGTTGTTCACAGGAGACTTTGCCGTGCTGCTGCAAGCGGGGATGTCGGTGAAGCAGGCCATCGTCTACAACTGTGTTTCCTCGTTGCTCTGCTTCTTTGGGATGGTCATTGGTGTTCTCATTGGTAACGTGGGACAAGCCTCTCTTTGGATCTTTGCCTGTATAGCAGGAACCTTCCTCTACATCGCTCTGGTTGACATGGTGAGAGTGGCTTTATGGCTTTAACATTACCTTCATATGCTTGTTGTTTGTGACCCTAGTTCAAGCAAGGTCGGCTGCCGGTTTGCCCGATTAAGCTTCTATGCACCAAATTATTCCTTGAGAGATGATTATAATCTACGTGACTGTAGTCTATAGATTATCTATAATCATATAGAAAAAAAACCCGGTGGTTTTTCAACAAAAGTTGAATGTTTAAGAGGTTTTACTGCAGTAACTACTGGTAAGATTACGCAATTAATTTTGCTAACATCTGATCCTTTTAACTATATACGTACTGCCAGTAACATTGCCAGAAAGTGATATATTGGTGCACAGGTCATCAAAACCAGCCTTGATATTGCTGGAATATTGCTAAATGCCTCGTAAAAACACACTCACTCATTCATCAAACCTGAAGAAATTTTCATTATATTTCAGCTTCCCGAATTATGTGTAGCGCCGACGAAGGGAGATAACCCGTACTGTATACTTGGCATACAGCTGTTTGGGATTTTGGTTGGAGCGAGTATTATGGCTGTGATAGCGGTCTTTGAGCACAGCTTGATTAAGCTGCTGGACATGTGACGTACACGGCTGTATTATAGTCGTTAAATTATAGGGTACGTTAATACTGTGTGACGAGCTGATTTCCATGTTCAAACACACAGGTTAACCAAGGAGTTGGTCGTGCAGAACTGAATTATGAAGACACAGTTTTAGGTTTACAATAAGGCCTTTCTACGGGCCAAACAAGTGAGAGCATCATAAGTAACAGGAATTACCAGAGCTGACTTGAGTGCACGAGCTAACGTTTCTGAATATTGACAGCTATTTGCCAGCACTGAAAGAAACCGGTGTCCCCTTTTGAATCCACAATAATGTAGGGAGCTGATAAGAATTATTGCGTTTTCAATTAAGTATCCAATCCACACTTGACAAATACATTAGAAACAAGTCAGGTAGGAAGTGCCTCGAAGAGCCTTATCCTAAACCTGGAGAGTTAGAGTCAGCCAGAATCTTTCTCATTCCGAAACAATGAAGCTGGTGACGTTCGTAAAACAAACAAGAGAGAATTGTCGGTACATTCCACTCGCTTAAGCTGAAATAAGTAAAAGATAATAGTCTCTTTTGGCTCATCACGATTGTCCCACCACGCATCGGCTGGTTTGGTGTGGTTAAAGGTTTAGGGCACGAGCTCTGGTTCATATGACCTGTAATCGCCCCTTCTAGAAACCTTCTCATCCAAGAAACAATCATGCCAGGCCATATTCGTAAACAAGAAGACAGAGAACTGTACATTTCACTCGATGACGTCCAAATACATACATAGGAGACAGCAGTCTCTACTGCAACATCCCAACCAACTGCCATATCCCGTATCGACTGGAATGGTATGTTTCGATGTTTACGGCACCAGTTCTAGTTCATATGGTCTCAGTTATGCTTTGACTTGTTATGTTACAGTATTAGATCACTATTGTACTTACCTTCGAGGGTGTACGATTTACGTGAACGAAGTAAGATGTTTTAAATGCCTTCCATATATTTTAATAAAACATTCCAATACAATTGTTTGTGTTTTGGAGTATATGCTGCATGTATACACATGGAAAAAAGCATCGCAACACTCACTCTCTGTCATAGCATCAGTCTGTTACCATTTACCATAGCAAAGGAACTTAACCAAACCTCGATTTAACTTACTATCTGGATAAATACAACCTCTCAAGGAATAATTTGGTGCATAGAAGCTTAATCGGGCAAACCGGCAGCCGAAAAGGCTTGGTCCCTGTACATTCAAAACCAGTTATTACTTTGCGGTTGTGTCAAATCTCGAATATTTCGAAGGATACACTTCGACATAACGGCGTTTGACTTCCAAGAAGTAGGAATCTGACTCAATACACAACGTGGTTGTTCGATTAAAAACATTAGAGCTATAGACTGAAAACAGATTTATTACCTAAATATTATTGCTAAAGGTAACAATAATAAAAAAAAGTTTATAATATATCATAGAAGAATTTGCACAAGACGTGAAAACAAGTTTTATGTTACTTCAATGCAGACAAACTTCTTGTAATTAAACGGAGTCTGAATCGGCTTCACGGGATTTATTCTCTTCTCGTAGTGGTAGGAAAATATCTTAACACTCAAAACGGAGGTCAACCCTGTAGGACACACGTGTGGTGTACATGTATGTTACAGAACACGAGCATCATCACCGCGTGGGTAATAAAATAGATAGCAGTCAGCTGTGGTGCCGTGTGCAATACACGATGAGAGTAATGACGTCAAACAGTAGTGGTCACATGACAGAACATTATGATTTTGACTTAACTAGGCTTTGAACTTTTACCACGGCGTAACGTTCTTATGTGGTATGGAAGTATATCGTGGTGCTTACTTCATTGGTGACACAAAACACAGCTATAGGGCTGACAAATCAATCTATATACTCAGGGGTAATCTAGGATTCAAACCTACGGACAGATGGTTATGACACGATAAAGGGAGGCAACTCAACGAATTGCAGTGTCTTAGACCTCTAGGCAGCCTTTACCGAAATGAAGTACGTAAAAACACATAGAAACACATTGAAAAATATACATTCAATTTTCTTAATAATGATGAAAGCTCTGAAAAAAATACAAGGCGATGAATTGTAGCGTTGAGTTGTATTATGCATGAAACGCACAGTGTCTAAGCGGTAATACACTGGAAAAAAGTCGACATTTACAAGCTTGGAAATGACTTGGAAAGATGATGTTTCCAAGACATTTCCAATTTGGGACATATGAGATTTCCAAACATTTACAATTTTGGAAATGTCCACTAGGGGAGATAACTGGTGGGTGATGGTAAATTATTGTTATTTGCACGCCCCAGGACCTAATCCCTTGTTAATTGATGAGTGAGTCAAGGCAGTTAAGAGTCACCAATTAACAAGGACTACTGCCTTGTTAATTAACAAGTTTTTATGCCTCTTAAAGAAGCCTCTGGTAGTAAGTTAAATCTTTGATGGGCATTAAGAAGTGGAATGCATTACTGTGACCTGATTTTCACTTGATGAAGAAGCAAGCATATGCTCCGAAACTTCGTGTTATTCACAATAAAGACAGTTGACATCAATAAATCTTGCTGTCCTTATTAAAAAGGTAAGTTATTAAAATCTGCGGAGCTGTAGGTTTGTTAATCATGTCGCGATGTGATTATCGCTCTAATACACCTGAGAGATTCGTCAACAGTGGGGTATGCACAGGCGGTGAAAATTGTATTGTATTACATTGGGTAGGTTGCATATTGTTTTATGCTGTCTGTTTGTATGTATGTGTGAATGAGGAACCTCACATATTATGACATTGAAAACAGACTAAACTAACCATTATTCCATGGTCAATATCGCAATGTTAGTGAAATGGTAGTATACGGAAGTTTGTTTCACATTTTTGATAATACCTTCTTTTATGCAGATAAAATTATTAAAAAACGCACGAATAATGTCATGCTTCCCTCAGAGTAATGGAAAATAATTTATATAGTGATTCTTATCAAATTCGATATTTCTTTATCGTCCGAACAGAATTCACAAATTACGGATGTTTTGTGTGTGTGTGTGTGTGAATGCACGCTTGTATAACATCTAACTTGATAGGTATTAAAATCAGGCCGTTTGTAACCATAATGACTACATTGTTTGGAACACTTGACGAACAAAAATAATTTCACTCTTCAATAGGAACTGGAACAGCAACATTTTTCATGTTTTCATATGAGCTTCAAAACATTGAATGAAATAAATGCTGTATGGTGAAATGGATCAGAGAACATTATAATGGCATAAATGGCGTGTGAATGACACATGTAATGGTAAAAAATATATAATCACTATGTTAGTTAACTCATGACCAGACACGTCAAACTGGTACCGATAGACTTATATCTAATAAGTAAAAATTCAGTATTTCTTAGTACCTGAAACAGAAAACACGAATTTGGAATGAGATGTTTTAATCTAACATCAGTCTGTTAGGTAGCAGTTTACTAAAGTAGAACTTAAATCAACTTCAAAAGATTGGTCATTCGCAAAGTGAAGCAGATCTCACTTACACTGCAGTAAACAGTATGGGGATACACAACGAAACATACCACTTACGTGATAACAACTCCCTGTTTATTGAATAGAGCGGCATTTCGATGTACAACGTTCAGGATAAACAAGCTGATTGAATGTTGATTGATTCCATCACTTGGACAATGGAGTGGATTCAGACTTGTTGATCTTACTCTCCTGTTGGCCCCAACGACGTGCTACTTGCTGAATTACCTGTTGTTAATTTGCTGCTTGTCACTATGCATATAATCTTCTATTCACCTGGTTGTAGTAACTTTTATCTTGATAACGGCGTGAGAATATACATGGAAACTCCCCCTCTGTCGACCTTTGGTCCAAACGGATGAGTTAAGAGAAATGTTGATGCCCGTCCGTTAGCAAATTAACGTTGGATTATAGAGACAATGATAGGCCTGCGTGTTGATAGAAGAGGATATTCCGGATTAAGCGAATGAGAAAACGAGCCAAATATATGTATAAAGATAGTGTTTTATTTCAGTCTCAGTTCACTTAGCATATATACATTGAAATATAAAACACATAAAAAAACATACAAGACGTAAGCCACGTGGTAAGGGGAGACTATATGGACAGATTTTATTTAATCATGTTACAACATGCTACATTTTACAGGAATTACAAATAGTTATATTACATCATATTACGAAATGTTTCAAAATATTACAACATTTTAAATATACATACACATTTATAAGTACATTATAAATATATTAAAGATGTGAAAGAAGAGACGCTGAATCAGCAAACTTGTCTCACAGTTAACATTCCATTTTGATACTGGTGTCTCAGTTCTTGAAGACGACGTTCCAGGTATCGGTATTTCTTCCTGGTGGGTTGTCTTTGGCCTTAGGCATATTGCACCAACGAGGTGTAGGAATAAACTTATGTTCAAGTTGAGCATTAGCCATTTCGAAATCGAACGCACACTTTCATGCTTCTTCTCATTATATATCCCAATGTAATTAGAGGAGAACTGATCCAGAGCGATTAATGTTTCTCGCCAACAGTCTAATTACCAAACCAAACTGCAAGCTTGTCGGTATCTGCTCCCTCGACCGAGACGGACACAGGGACTGGGCTTCTGGCCACCTTGACAAAAAAATTTCAACCCAAACAGCGGGACACTAGGAAGTGTGGATGCTCATCAGATGCAGTTATTTGATAATACCCCTGGTAGTTCCTGTCTGATTGCAATACAGTATACCAGCAGTGTATGCTTTTCGGATTTTCTAATGCATAGATGGCATAGTGACTGATCCAATTTGATCTTGTTTCTGTGTTTTTTTACCTCGATATTTAATCATGCCATGTAAACATATGATGTCTATTACATATTATATTTATGACAAATGAATATTTACTTAGGTATATACAATTTTAACTTCAGTACACATCAAATGCTTATACGTATTTCGTTTGCAACAATGAAGTTCCGTTCGTATCCTCCAAACAGTGTCGGCACATAAGTTTTTTCAGGCAATTAACATTGCATGCAATTCAGCGATTACTACCCCCTTTGCTGTAACCAGTGTTTGGTGGTGTAAACCTACACATGTTATTTGTCATCATTCACTTGATGGTAAATTAATGAATTTATAACAGGTGTGATGGTAATATCACTCAGATTACCCGACAAAGGTTCCAATTTCGCATTTCTTGTGCCTGGAGTAAATACTCATCATTATGAATTAAGGTCTGATGTAACAAATGTATTACATGTTATGTAATATGCTCATGGAAGTGCAGCAAGACGAATTATCAGCTGAGATACAAAACAAACATTGATCAAAGGATTAACCGATAACACGCTGATTGATTATGGCCTAAAAGTCGGGCCACCGGGTAATACTAAAAATGGATTGCAGAATATTAAAACGAAACCTGCACATTTGGGTCAATACTCTTCCTGCCGTCACAAATGCATAGTTTGATTGAAAATGTATATTTAATGGTGAAAAATCCCAAACAACAACAATGACTACATACCGAGATTCCCGTAGAAAAGACACCGTCTTGTTGTTATGTGTTTTCCTTGATATGTCTATGGGGGGAGGTTGCTTACTTCTCTTAGAGTGTGACATCCTGGGTAGTCTGTC